CTGGGTGGATCCAATTGAAGCTGCGAGCGCTTTTGCGAAGACCGGAGGTGCTCCGAACAGCCATGGTGATGGCGACAAAGAGGAGAGGGCCGCGCATGGTATGTCCTTGGACGACCAGCAGGCGGAACGTGTGATTCAGGAGTCGTCCAGGATGAGATCTTTACAGGAGGCCCTACATATATTTCGCAACATGCACACTCAGGTGGGTGCGCCTCTTGCTTCCACTGTGACGTCAGTTCTGCACAGGGAAACCAAGCGGCGCAAGGCGCTCTCCCAGGAGGACCCGATGGTTCACGACCAATTGCACGCAGCATTGAAAGATGAGGAGGCTGAGGCTCGCCGCGCCAGGCTTGCGTTTAAAGAGCAGATGTCGGCGGAGAAAGACAAGGCGCGCGTCAAGCGTGAGTTGCACGAGGCGACGGAGAAGCTCAAGAAGATCCGCAAGGAACAGAGAGAGGCCGAAGCCGTGGTGACGGCGATGGAGCAGATGAGAGTTTACTCCTTGGAGCAGTTGGGGCAAGGGAACAAAAGGCGGTAATAAGGAGCACCAAAAAGCGCGCTTCCAGGTATTACAAGCTCTTCGGAAAGCTGCCGAACTGTCACCTGGGCAAACGAGCCAATGGGAGTTCTTCAAGACGGAATGGGACAGTCGGATGGCTGCGACCCACGGCGAGGACTGGGCGCAGCTCTTTGCTGAGATGGTTCAGAAGGTGGTGAGCGACCTGCAGGGGGGTCGAAAAGATGCGCTGTCTCAGTTCATGCACAATGAGACCAGACGCGTGTTAGGCGATGCGCCTGCCTTGATTTTGCCGGGCATTACTCGCGCTTAGACATTCCCCCGCGGCGGCGGTGATACCGCTGTGACCAGTGAGGCGTCTCCGCGGTGGCGGAGCGCACTGGTGCTGCCGAGTGCTGCTTGCCTCTGGGGCGTCGCCGAAAAAATTCTGCTCCGCGAGGGCCCCCCCCTGGGACCCCTCGCTGCTCTCGACCCCCCCTGCCTTCCCGAACCATTGGTGATCCCGATCCCCGCAACAATAGGACCCCAATTAGGTTACATCCCTCCCCCCCCTCCTTTCCCCCCCGCCGCCCTCCTGCGCGCCCTCGCCCTCGCCTCCTTCATGTATTCCAGCAGCGACATGCAGAGACCCTAACTATCGTCATTACAGTTGCTTTCGCGGCTCAAGCATGCCCGCCCCAGAGCTCACTCGCCCCCATGGCCATGGAGCATCCTCAGGGGGCTCCGCTGGCCGCGACGCAGATGACGATGAGCGCGACGCCATAAGCTTGCCCACTCATGCGCCGACGGACGCATCTGGCATGCCAAGGGATCTGGATGACATCCCCGTGGACGCAAACCTCTTCCTGAAGCCGCTGTGGGATGACGGGGCGGAGTGCTCTGCTGGTGTTTGGGCGGTTGAAACCCGCGGTGGTGGAAAGGCAGTAGCCATGGAGGCACCTTTGGCGTCTTGACCGCCAACTGGGGCGGGAAGTGGGGCGAACCAGCACTGCGTGCGCACACGCAGCAAGATCTGAAATGCTCTTCCTGCCAGTTCCTGGTCATCCAGGAAGCTTCTAGCGACCTGCTGGACTACGTGGGACAAGACCCAGGGAAGGGCGACAGCGAGTTCCTAGGGGGGAAGGGCGCGCAGCGGCCTGCAGCCAAGTTCATAGGTGTGCGAGGCCCAGAGGAGGGCGACAGCACTATGATATGCGGCAGGGAGTCCCTGGTGTCGGGGATGCGGCTGCTAGTGTTCCATAGGATGAAGGATGGAACATACGCGCACACGAAGAAGGACAAACAGAGGACCAAGGTGACGAAGACCGCGGTTAGCAGGATCATGCTTGCATCTGCAAAGATGCGATTTTGGAGAACCCGCGGTAGCGGGGAAAAGCCGATTCTGATGACCAGGAGCTCGATGAGCTGCGGCTCGCCAACGTGCACTTGCACTTCAAGACAGCAAGGGAAGACCTGCAAGCTGGTGGAGAGTCCTACAAACGTTTCTGGGATTTGCTAGCGAGGTACTTGCCCGAGCTCCGCCCCCGCATTCTCTGCGGGGACTTCAGCATGGCGCTCTTCCTTGTCGTGCCGGAACTGCGGGCGCGCGGCTTCCAGATCAATCTGGCAGCGTGGTATCTTTGGCAACAGCAGCACGAAAGGTTTGTCCGAGCGGACTCGTGTGGCATCTTCCGCATAGGGCCGTGCGAAGGGGTTCGGATGTGCTACGGTCTCTCTGCGTTCGGGCTCGATGGTCCCGACCTTCCTGCGAACTGCTCCATGGTTATGGAGACCCTTCGCGACCAGGACGGCAGAGAAATTGGTAAACGCCCCTGCCCCATCACGAACATCCCTTTTCGAGGCCAGGGGTTCCCGTGCACCAGCTACCACCCGCAGGTGCCCGCGCACAGGGACAAGTGCGTTCAGTGGTCTTTCACGCCTGTCTTCGACGAGGCCTCACCCGCGGTGGCGGAGGTCTTGGGCAGCGCGAAGACTGACAAGGGGATGTCCCCGTGCAGAGTGGACTCCACCACGGGGTCCGCTTCGCGGAGTTGGCCTGGGACCCCGACGTCGAAACAGAAGCCTGTCCAGTTCGAGAAGTTCGACCCTCAGCGAGAGATGTTCAAACGTGGAGCACGCATGCCCTTGATGATCTACGTGGGCGGGCCTGCTGACGCGCGGCGGACGAGCGAGGCGCAGAGGCGGCGGGCGGCCAACGCGGACAGGCGCGGTTGGACCTGGGAAAGGAGGCAGTCCACGCAGGGCGCAAAAGGAAAGGGGAAAGAGCATGGGCAGCAGAAAGGCGCGGGCGCCTACGGCCGCGGCGGCGGCGAGCGGCGCGACAATCGCGGCAAGGGAGGGGAATGGGGTGCGCGAGATCAGGGTCAGCAAGCTCCCTGGACAGGCTGGCGGTCGTGAAAATCATCCCTTGGTGACCCGCGGTGGCGGGGAGTAGGGGGCGTTGGGGCGAGGTGCGGCGACGGTGATTCGCTTCTTATAAGACGCAGCGATCTCTTTGCGGTGAGAGAAAATGCATCGAGGGTATCTGATGTCACCCAGGACGCGGCGACAACACAGGGCAGGGCATGCGATGTCACCCAGGAGTGGCGGCGAGTGGCGGCGACAACACAGGGCAGGGCATGTGATGTCACCCAAGAGGGCCTGCTTCACTTAATCTAATGTTTCCGTTTATTTGCCAAATCAGATTATGAAAATCTTCTGGGCTATCCTTCGGATGAGCGGATCTGCGATGAGGAAGCTGTGAAGTTAGATTACAAGATGGTGGAATTACTTGTCACTGGTCAGTTTGTTGTGGGAGATTCTGCCAGGGCGGGTGTCTGCGGTGATTGAGAACCCTTTGACTTCGCGTTTGTGGTTGCACCCGGGGCTCCTGACACTAAAGGGCGCTTTTCCTGAGCATCGTGAAATTTTGCTGGGCCAGTGCGCTTTTGGCACAGCTTGGAGGAAACCCATTCGATTGTTGGCCTTGCACTTAGATGGGGCGCAGTCTGGGAAGGCGTTGTTTTGGCCCCAGAGGTCTCTACAGTTTTACCAGGCAGCCTACTGCGCCACTGGTCGGCAAGATTTGATGATAATGGAGGACTTAGAAGACCCAAGAATATCCAAAACGTTGTGTGAGGCCTTCTCGCGTTGCCTAATGCAGCACTTTAGGATCTCCTCCACCTTGCCAGTCCACTAATGTTAGCAGATTTGGGAGTTCGTGAGATTTCAATCTTGCGCTGCGCTCAGTTGATCTTCGGAAAAGGCTGTCTGCGGCGAGCTGGCCAGCGGCGAGTCCTGCCTCTTCCTTGACAGCTGCCAACCGACAGTGTTTCGAACTGCTGGCGGATACAGAAAAACATGACCAGCCAAGCGTGAATGCCTCCTGTTGAAACGCCGCTTTGATCAGACCAAACGCTCTACCGTAGCATTTAGCGCAGGTTTTCTTGGACCCACCGTCCTTCCCTTTGCACCTCCTTTTGTTCCCATGTTGGGGAGTTCGTGAGATTCTAGACGCTTCGCGTATCCCCACCAGCCGAGCCTTGATGAGTCAGGCCTCTTTCGCCGCACCATCGTTTACCTGGGGTGCTGCAGTGAGTCTGAGTCAGTCGCTCGCGCTCGCACTCTCCCCCCTCTCTTGTCCGTGGTCTTGGACGGTCTGTCCCTGTGTGCACGCACGTGGTCTCCGCTTGGTCATTGGCCATTCGGATCCGCGTTCTGCCTGCGGCTTTACAGTGCCCGCTGTCCGTCTTGGCCTCGCTTCCGAATGCGGTTCGGCTGGAGCTTGGCGCCGCAAGGGCGACTTCTCCCCCCCGTTCCGCTGCCGGTCGCCGCGCCTTTGCTTCCCCACCTGCCGGGATGTCCGGGCCGGTCACCTGCCGACGCTGTTTTGCGTCTCAATGAGGGGCATTTTGTCCCTGGCATGTGCATACGCCACTGCGGCCAATTTACATCGTACTGCGCCCCGGACGTTGTGCCCGCTCCCTGTCCCTCGCCTTGGAGCCGCGAGCCAAAAAAAGTATCCCCACCTGCCCATCCAGAAACGACGCCCAGGCGAGTAGAGGGTCGTCCTGAGGGGCTTTTCGGCGCCTTGGGTGCCTCGGGGGGGCCTCTTTGGGCCGCTTGGGATCCTCTATGGGGCCTCCTGGGGACCTCTTGGGGCCTCTTGGGGCCATCTTGGGGCCTCTTGGGGCCTCCTGGGCGCCTCTTGTCAATGATTCTGGCTTCAAAGAAGAGGGAAGCTTCAACTAGGGTTGCCCCCTCAGGAGGCCAAGATGGGGCCAAAACCTTCGTAAAATCAGCGACTGTGGCTTTAAAGAAGAGCGGAGCATTAATTAGCCTTGTCCCCCCAAGAGTTCAAAATGGGGCCGAAACCGTAGTAAAATCAATGATGTTGGCTTCCTCGCCGAGGCCGTTTTGGACGCCCTGACCGCTCGCGGCCCCCCCCGTCCAGGTCCACGGGGAGGGGGTAGGGGGAGGGGTAAACCCCTCCCCGAAGGGGAAGAGGGAGGGGTGGAAGAGGAAACGCTCTAAACCACCGACGCCCAGAGGGCTGGTGGGATTTCAATCCTGCGCTGCTTTCAGTTGACCTTCAACGATAGCTCTCTGCGGCGAACCGGCCAGCTGCGAGTCCTGCCTTTTTCCTGACAGTTGCCAATAGACAATGTTTCGAACTGCTGGCGGATGAAATGGCACGTATGTATGCTTGTATGTTTGTATGTACGTATGTATGTGTACATGTATGTGTGTATGTGTGTCTGTCTGTCTGTCTGTCTGTATGTATGTACGCATGCATGCGTACATGCATAATGTATGTATGTGTGTATGTATGTATGCGTGTATACATCGACACACGTATGTAGTTGTTTATATGTTTATATATGGATGCATGCGTGTGTATACGTATGCATGTATGTATGTTTGCATGTATGTATATGTGCATATACACATCCATCGAGGTAATAGTGTATGTATATATGTACGTGTGTATGTATGATATATGTATGCATGCATGTATGCACGTATGCACGTATGTATGTGTATGTATGTGTATATATGCATATATGATGGGCGCTTGTGACGTAGTACAGAGACTTCTTTTTCGAGGTCGGCACGCCGACAATAGGGACAGTAATGGACGATCACAGGGATATCCATAGGCCAACACAGACGATAATGGGTCAATCATGGCATTATAGCGTATATACCGTAGAAAACCACTTACAGGCCTTATCAGTGGGTACCCGATCACCCTCAGGAGCTGGTGGTCGCGAGTGACGCCCGCGAAGCGCCGGGGGCCCCCTTGGGGCTTCCCAGAGCGCTTTAATTTAAAAGAATTAGCCTTGAGTCGGGCGTGTCCCTCTACAGGGGGAGTATTCAAAATAGCCCCAAAAATACTCCGGGGACGATTCTTATTAGGGGGCATGTTTTGACTATTTTCTGTATTTTTCGTCCAAAATCAGCCTGTAGGGGGACATTCCCGACTTAAAATTAGCGTCCAGGAGTAATGTCCCCAGAGGTCTCCGGGAGGTCGGGCCGGGGAGCTGGATCTCGGGGGCGGCCAAGAGGGGGGCGATGATTAGGAGGGTGGATATCATGGCGTGGGCCATGATGTTTCCTCAGATTTCATGGCGCCTCTTCTTCTTTCATTACGTCCCTGGGTCCCCCCCTGGGCCGCGCACATGCCGCCAGCCGTGATTTGCCCCCCCACCCCCCTCTCTTTGACGCCCCCCTCTTGACCGCCCCCGAGGATCCGTGGACATTGCTAGAATCCCTGCGTTTTCACAGGTTTCAATCATCGGGAACGGACTCCGCGAGGTCGGGCTCCGGGAGGTCTCTGGGTGGTCCGTTAATTCTTCCAGACGGTGATCCCAATAATTCAGGACGTCACTCAGAAGTCGCATGGGATGCTCCCCAGCAGCTGCGCCTCGACGAGAGCGTTCTGGGGAATGGATAGTGCTTGTCCTCAGTGCACGCGTTATCGGGAATATTGGGAATCAAGGGGAATTGTGTCTTTGAGTTATCGGGGTTATAGGGAATGGCCTTCCAGGACGACCCAAGGTTGTATCACTTCACGCGCTATATATACACCCGTAGGTCGTTGAAAGTAGGCATTCCTTCATTCCCAGATCCCAATTCTATTTTAGGCGTTTCCTATTCCAGTATCGAGTGTTTTTTCCTTTTCCTTCCCCTCGAGGGGGGGCGCGGAAGCCCAGTCTACTTCAACGCCTTCCTGCTTCGTGTTTTCTTCCGGCCGACGGGTATGCGATGTGTATGTAGTTAAATGTGTACAAGATTTCAGCACGAGGTTCTCTTGGCGTGTTGATGAGGCTCTGGCCTCTGGGGGGGCCTTCGGAGCCCCCCGCGGAGGCCTCCGTCCTTCTATGGTATCCGACGTTTTTTCGGCGCGGATGCCACACCGGTTCAGTCTGGATTCGACACGGATTCAAACGGGTTCGTCGTCGCCGACACTGGCGCGTAAGTTGCCCACGTAAGGTCGCGCGTAAGCTCCCTCGTTTCCAATGTGGCGTGCCGCGCTGGCGGCCCGTGCAAGCCACCGCGTAGGGTCGCTGTGTCACCTCGCGTGAGACCCTTTCTTTTTCGTCGCTCCTATGGGTTTGACGCGGATAGCGGCGCGACGGGACCGTCAGGGTCCCCAGAAGATGCGGCGCAGACGCACCAGCGCGAAAATCCGTATGGTATGCGTTTGTCAGTTCAGCACGAGAATTTGGGCCGCGCAGGCGGGGTCCGAGCAGAAGGGGTTGGAGGATTGCCCTGCATCGGCGATGCACCGGCGACGCGGCGCGATCCCTTCCTCCCTGTCCCCATTCAGGCGGCCCAGGGCACGCATCTCATCGGCGCGCTGACCTGTCAGCGACAGACGCCAGTTTCTAAGTTTTTGGTTTCCCCGTGTTTCCTCTCAGGCTTGCTGCCCGGCTTGCTGCTGGAAGGCTTGTGCTCTCACGGACGGCCTTTCTGCGATCCCGTGCGATCTCATCGACGCCATTCTTGGCGCCTCTGACGCTTCCCCTGGCGCCCTCCGCGAGCCTCGGAGGCTCCGCGCGGACCTCCGAAAGCCTAGGATTGTGCCGTCTCTTCTTCCTCCGAGTCGAACTCCTCTCCCCTCCTCGGAGGGCTAGAGGTTGGCACCCAAAGCAGGATCAGCGGTCGCCTCCCCCGAGGGAAGAGGATCCTTGCCTCGGTGGTAGTGGTAGCACTCGGGCTTCTTGGGTGGCCGAGAGATCACCACCAGCACCAAGGTCCAGAATCCTCTCCCCCTGGTGGGGGCAACACGTGCGCCAAGCCAGAACCGTAAGCGCGCGTAGCACGTGGTTCTCGTGTATGCATGCATGTATATATATACACATTATGTATGCATGCATGCATGTTTGTGTGTATGTATGTATCATGTATGTATTTGTGTATCCGTGCCTTGCTGTATATAAAAATAAAACCAGATGTAGACAGAGACCGAGACAGAGAGAGAGAGAGAGATAGAGAGAAAGACAGAGAAACAACGACTGAGTGAGTCTGAGAGAGAGAGAGGAAACAATACAACGAGAGAGAGAGAGAGAAACCGATTATGACAAAGAGAGAGAGAGAGAGAGAGAACAAACATAAGGAGAGCTGCAGCGGCATGCGTGACGTCTTTGTCCTGACTTTGGCCCGGCGGCCGAGGCAGCAGCTTCGATCCGCCGACCAGCACCGTGAGGCTCCTGCGCCTGGCGCGCCTGTCCCGGCTGGTCCGCCGCGGGGGGAAGCGGCTGCAGAGGAGGAGAAGGAGGAGGAGGAGGGGCAGGAGGAGGAGGGGCAGGAGGACCTGCGGGAGGGTTTGAGGGTCGTGGACGAAAACCTGCGGGAGGCTTTGAGGGTCGTGGACGGCAGGCTCGAGCTGGCACCCGACGCGAAAGCTGGGCGATGTCTCCCAGACCTCTTCCCCCGAGCTGAAGCTCAACCAGTGCTGCCTGAGAGCCGGCCGTCGGAGGAGGACACCGCAAGCTTTCTGGTGGAGCTGCAGAAGGCGTACCGCCACGCGCCTCGCAACAGAGGCGCGGGCCCCGGCGGGTCCAGGAACGAGCACTGGTCGTGGATGCCGGGGTACTCGGCGCCCTGGGAAAGCTTCGCAGAAGTAGCGCTCAAGCTGCAGCTCGGACAGGTGGCCGCGGAGGTCCACGGGCCATGGCTGTCGGCGCGCATCCTGGCAGGCGACCGGGAGGAGCGGGACAAAGTCCGCCCCTTCGCCTTGGGGGGCGTGCACAGGCGGGCCGCGTCCAAAGCAGTCGGCCGCGTGTTCCGCAGCAGGGTCGCGGCAGCCCTCGGGGGCAAGGAGTACTCAGTCGGGGAAGCACGCGGGGCGGAGCGCATGCACAAGGCGGCCCTCCTGGACCTCGACACCCGGCCTGGGTGCTGCAAGCTCGCACTGGACGTGAGCAATGCTCACAACGAGTTGTGCCGCGAGGCCGCCGCCAGGGCGGTTCAGGAGTTGGTCCCTGACCTGCTCCCGTGGACCCGCCTGGCCCTGAGCACCGCCACCGAGCACGTTCACGTCGCGCGGGACGGCACGAGGACGCAGCTCCCGAAGGAGCGCGGCGGAGACCAAGGGGACGGCCTGACCAACATGGTCTTCCCGCTCTGCTACAAGAAGGTGGTGGATGCTGTCGAGCGCGCGGCGGGCCTCGAAACGGACCCTGGGAGGAGCTACGCCTACCAGGACGACCTCGACGTCGTCTGTGCCACGGCGGCCGCGCAGCCCGCTGAGGAGGCGTTCGGGCGGGCCTGCGCCGAAGTACGACTGCGGCCCAACCCGTCGAAGACCAAGCTGAGTCCTGGCAGGGAGGTGCCGGTGGCCGCGTTGACGGGCCGGTGGGAGGTGGAGCCGCGGGCGCTCGTCCTAAGGCACGGGGCCTTCCCGCCGGTGCCCGCGGCCCCTGCTGTCGCCCCAGCCGCCGGGAGCATCCTGGCCGAGGGGAGCCCAGAGGTGTCCGCGCTGGCAGAGAAGCGCGCGCGCTTCTTCCTGCGGCTGCGCCAGCTGCAGGCGGCGGGACTCGACCGACAGACTGCTGCGGCGCTGCTCCGACTCAAGACGGGCTCTGACCACACGTTCGTGGCCCGCACTTGTGGCATCCCGGAGGCTGAGGCCCGGGCCATGGACGCAGCGCTAGCGGCGGAGGCGCAGCACGCCCTCGGACTACAACAGCTGAGCAGCACGGCGGGCAAGCAGCTCTTCCTCGCTGGGAAGGACGGCGGCGCTGGGTTCCAGAGCGTGGAGCTGACCGCGCCTGCCGCCCACGCCGCTTCCTGGCACCACAGCGTGCCGCACTGCCTGAGCAGGCTGGGACTGACGGACGCCAGCGCCCTGGCCGCCCTCAGCCCCTGGGCGAGGCGCTGCCTCCCTGCGGCCACGGCCACGCTGCAGGAGGCGCTGGGGGACACTACGGCCCAGGTGGGCGACGAAGGACTGGCAGCAACGCAGCACTCACTGGCTGCGGCCCCACTCGCTGCGGCTGCCCGCCTGGTCGCCGACCTCGCGGCAGGCGAGGGCCCTCCCGCGGCGGCCGCCTTGCGCTCGGCAGGAGGGCCAGGGGCGAGCGGCTGGCTGCAGGCCCCCACGAAGGCGCGCCACCGCCTGAGCAACGCGCAGTTCAGCATCGCAATGGGAGTTCGCCTGAACC